GAAGCCTGATGATGGCAGATGAGATTCTGCCGAAACGTTGCTACAACTTTAAACACAACTATAATGATGTGGGAAAATACCCGAACAAAGCTGAATACCGCATATATATTTGTTTATATGTTTGTTTGTTTCTTTTTAAATGTTTATTTAAATGAAACTTAAATAAACTTTATTAAAATAAAATTAAAAAAGAATTATATTAAATTCTATTATATTCAGACGCTTGGCAACTGTCTCATGATGGTTGCAATGTCCCTGGATCATGGGATCCCCTTTTGTGACCTTCTGACAAGCAAAGTCAATGGGGAAGCCAGATTCACTTAACAACCGTGTTACCAACTTAACAAATGCAGTGGTTCACTTACCAACTGTGGCAAGAAAGGTCATAAAATGAAGCAAAACTCATGTAAAAACAGTCTTGCTTATCAACAGGAATTTTGAGCTCAAGTGTGCTTGTAAGTGGAGGACTACCTCTATTTTGGAGGACCAAACTAGTTTTGTGACCTTCTGACTTTCAATATGTTCAGCAATTTCAGGCCAGCATCTCCCTTTGATGTTCCTTAGTTGAAGAAGATCTACTTTGACATCTGCAGATATTTGAAATCTTCTGGCACTGGTTTTGAATGTTGCTATTTCTGATGTTGGTTTTGTATCTGTATATTATTCTCTGGAATAGACAATTGCAATAAAGAGGGCAGGTGGGGTGAGAAATCTCATTTCTGAGTGCACTAGGAATTTTAGGGCATCTTTAAGCACATGCACTTTTATTCTGACCTTTGTGACTTTCTTTGTCAGCTGCCTATCCTGGCATGGATGGGAATTAAATCTTGGAATCTGGGATACATGTCTGAATCAATCATGAATTTGAAAGTATGAAGATAAAAAGAAGCCTGCATGATGTTGCACGACATCACTAGCGGTGTATCTGTATAAATGGGACATTTCCACTTAACTTGATGGCAAGTCTAAATTTAACCATCTAAGCAGGCTCTATGTACTTCTTTGAAAGTCATGGAGAGAGAAGGGGAGACAGAGACTCCTTGATAATCATTTGATATTAAGAAAGAAACAGATCATTCTGGTCCGATAGGAATCAGAAGTGATTAGATTCATGATAAATACAGATTTGGAATTAAAGTTGGCATATATGTTGACAGTGATAAGAATCTTATATGCACAAAGATGGAAATGTACACTAATTCCTTTAGTGGAAGAATGGATGGTAAAGAGTCGCTGGAGATTGCAACATGGACCATTTTATATCCTTAATATCTAGTTCAGTTTCCATTTGGAAACCACTTTGTGATTTTGTACTCAAAGCTGAAAAAAAATAAAATTCTAATTTTAGGCTTTATGATTAGAATGACTTTGTTGTTATAGAAATGGCTTGAAACATTTAGAAATGTAAAGCAAAACGTTGAGGCTATAACTTTTTTGCATTTTACAAAAGTTACTACTTTTTTCTTTCTGTTTTATTTCTTTATGCACTTTTCTTCTGCTCTCTTTAACCTTCTTAATTTTTATTTGTATTTGATCTTATAATCAACTTTAATAAAATTCAAAGAAAGGGAAATAATATTGGGCATTTGCCCTGGTTTTTACTAGGCACAATTACACTTCCTTTAAGATGTGAACCCCTCCTCAAGTTCCCTCTGCCAATATGTCAAAGAAAAATGAGGAATTTAACTCAGCCCCACTTTACAGGAAGCACTCAACTTGCAACTCCTCCTCCTTCTGTGACTATTCAAAGTTATAACAGCACTAAAATAAGTTCACTTATGACTATTGCAGCATTCCTGTGGTCATGTGATCAAAATTCAGATGCTTGGCAACTGGCATGTATTTATGACAGTTGCACTGTCCTGGAGTCATGTGATCACCTTTTTGCAACTTCCGATAAACAAAGTCAATGGGGAAGCCAGATTCCTTTAACAACCATGTTACTAACTTAATAACTGTAGGGATTCACTTAACAACTGTGGCAAGAAAGACTGTAAAATGGAACAAAGCTCACTTAACAACTACCTTGCTTAGCCACATAAATTTTAGGCTTAATTATGGTTGTAAGTGAAGGACTACCTGTATAGATTTTATCCCTTCAACCTCCTTTTAATATTACAAAGAATTTTAGCAAGTTTCCCCCCCCCCACTCTTAATTCAATGTGTTTTTGTGCATTAAAACACATTATCTTCCTTTCTTATGATTGGATCCTGCAACTACAATGCCAGAGACATTTCCATCTACCTGTTCATCTACCTGCATGGTATGGATGCTAACCATCTAATTTCTTTCCAAGAAGTCAATACACCCAGCACTGCAATAGTCTCTTGGTGCAAATCTCTACAGTCAATCAACTGTATAACCTTGGGGAAAATGCTCGAACTATAACATCTCCTAGGTATCAACTGGGCAAACAGTTGTGCACAATCCAGGTAAGCGCAAAAGAGATCCTGTGGGTGGGATAGGCAACCATATCAAAGCTTGAAGCAAGAGTATAAAGAGAAAACATCTGTCTTCGATAAACCTGCTTGTGATTCAGAGGGGTGAGTACCTGTAGGAAGCTGCAGAAGGCTGGATCAGGTTCTGGTGTGTATGAGGTGAAGATTGTGATGGGTTGACTGTATCTGGGTGTGTAGCATCCAAGACTTAGTGTAAAGATTAAGGTATGTGCAAGAGGTAGGTGTGTGTCAATGCTCTTGGAATGACTGCCAAAAGGACAACAACAACATTTTCTTTATCTCTTGAAGGTTGGTACAGGGAGATGTAGGAAAGCTTCAGGGTTTGTTTTTTTAAGAGGGAAGGGGAGATGGAAGCAAAGAATAAAAAGAAGTGAGAAAAGGCAAGAAAAAAAGGGGGAAGAAAAAGAAAAACAATAAAAAATGGAGGAGAGGGAGATGGGAAAAATCCAGAATAAAAAGAAGACAAAGGCGGAGAGAGAAGAGAAGAGAGAGCACTAATATAAAGTAGGATGAGGGACTTTGGGGGAGGATAAGCCATGAATTCTGCCTTTTCTCACCGCTAGCCAGGTAGAACACCTGAAAGTTGTTAGTTTGCAAAAGCTGGAAGTGATGATGGATTCCCAGTGTCTATTGTAAAGAAAGAGGAGGAAATTTGCCCACAGAAATGAATTGATGAAAGGAAACTATTATCTACACACTATAGATAAACTGGAATTTATTCTGCACCCAGCTACTCATAAAAATCAAGCACCTGGATGAAGAGTGGGTGGTAGCAAGGAGAAACATGATATATGAACTCTTTGCACAATCTCCCTGTTGCCTAAATTTTGTAATTGTCACAGGATAGCTTTTTCCAGGAGTTGAGGGGGGAAACTGGGCAATTTCTATATTTGTTTTTGGTATATAAAAACCGAGTATTGGTCATGGCATAGTGACCTCATTCAGAAAAATATCGTTGGAGTTTTCAGCCTTGAAGTGTCTGGGACGGGAGAGGTAGTTTAGAAATCTAAGTACATGTTATACTTCTCAGAGTTTTAATTTAAACTGCTGTATCTTGGTTGGTTGGGAGGAGAGGATACCTCTGCACACCCATATGGTAATTCTTGGGGGAGAGGGTTCCAAAGACAGCTATACTGTACACAATCTATTTATAATCCCACCTTTATTATTTTTTTATTAAAAAAAAAAACTCAAGGTGACAAACATACCTAATACTCGTTTGCCTTCCTATTTTCCTCACAACAACCCTATGAGGTAAGTTCAGCTGAGAGAGAGGGACTGGCCCAAAGTCATCCAGCCAGCTTTTATATCTAAGGTGGGACTAGAACTCACAGTCTCCTAGTAATTGGCCCAAAGACAGTCAGCCGGCTTTCATGCCTAAGGGTGGGATAAGAATTTACTGTTTTCTGGTTTTTTTAGCCTAGTTACATAACCACTTGACCAAACTGTCCTTTGATTAAGATCACTTTTCATTCTGGCTAGGGAATTAAGATGGCTTCTCTAACCCTAGAGAAGTGGAGATTTAACATAATCTTTCCCCAAACATCTTCTGTGTGAGCTGTTTGGTATGTTGTTTTACTGGCCTGAATCTCTTCTGGGGACAAGGGACTATTTCATCATTTTGGTAGGAGCACTTGATTATCAAGGGGAGGGCGAGCTGGTTGGAAATATCTATCCCCTGGGACTAGAGATATGGGTCTCCAAAGACACCTAGCCAGCTCACCAAATGCAAGGATCTTTTTCCCCAGGCAAGTAATTTTGGGAAATGCACTAATTGCTGTACATTTAGAGCGGCAAAGCTGCTAGAGTGGCAAGAACAGAAATAGAGCCAGAGTGTTTATTTTGACTACTGTAAGGTTTGGTCTTAATTTCTCCAGAGAATAGCCTGTGGGAGAAAGGGTTGCCAGGTTGTTTTGAGATTTGCAGCCTCTTCTGGGGAATGTGGGGAGTTGATGCTTTTGTCTCAAGAAACGTTTTTTTTTTTTCCCAGAGAAAAAGATTACAAGTCCCTAAGTTATAGCAAAGAAAAAGGGATTGTCAGCTAAAGGGCAAACAGAGATAAAATTAGCCAGGAAGAGCAGCAACAATAATGATTATGCTGATATATCAATTCCTTTGTTTATCCTAATGTTACCAGTGAAATACGATGGATTAGATTCAGATTGAAGTTGCTCCCTAAAGGCGCTAGTAATCAAAAATCATCATGCAGTTATTTTGTCTTTCCCTCTTTCTCAGCTTTTCGCTACTAAAAAGAAAAGAGATGGGATATCTGAGCAAACCCAGCAGTTTAGAAACTGATCTGCTGGGCATTAGTTCACGAGGCTTTTAGTGAAAACTTTTATTGTGGACAATGTAGTTGGTAAAATAATACGGAAGAGACTGGATGATTGCATAATAAAACTTGCAGTTATTTATGGTAGTTGCTAGAGGAACCATTCTTTTAATCCATTAAAATAATGAAACAGGTGTTATGTGTTGAATATCTATATAATTGTGTTAAGCCCTGCTAAAGTGAAACTAACCTTTTGATGACCCTAACTGTTAATTCCCAACTGTTTTGGAGGGAAACTTAGAATATTCATATTTGGGTGGGCTTTTTCAAGTATTATGATTAGTTAAGGCCCTGTGGGCCCAGAGTATAAATTACAGGCATTTGCCTGCTGTTCCTCAGTTCCAGTTTGAGTGAATAAATGTTGCTGTAGCTATGCTGGTCTGCTCCTTGCCTACTGAAGCCTACTACACAATAGTGGCGACAAAGGTGGGATGCTGCAGGGGAGAGAGCTGCTGCTAACCAAGATACTGAAATCACTGGGTGATAGGCTAGGTAACAAGCCATGGCAGGACTAGTCCTCACCCCTGCCTACCAGTAGGCCACATTGGAGGCATGCTGAAATCACTGGGTGTCAGACTGGGTAAATAGGCCTGATAGGACCACACTCCCTGTCCTGCTTGCCAGAAAGAGACACTGGAGGCACAGGTGTACCTGAGGGATCTGCCCCCAGGACTCCTAAGTGCAGCCCAGGTCCAACTGCAACAGTACAGGAATTAACCAGCACCATGGGGCCTTCTCAAAATGGCTAAATTGGGAAGGCTCAATGAGTTCAATATTACTCACCCGGAACAGTGGAGTGCATACATCTTCTGAGTAGACAACTATCTCCGGGCTAACCAGGTCACGGACTATGGCCAGAAGGTGGCAACTTTACTATGTGTCTGCGGACAAGCCATGTTTGATATAGCTGAAAACTTGATAGCACCGGCAAGCATAGAGACTGGCCTATGCAGATCTCAAGAAAAAATTAGGGAACATTTTGAGCCTAAACTCTCAGTTGTTCCTCAGTGCCATGCATTCGAGCAACATAAACAGAAATCTGGGGAATCTGCAGCAGGGTTTGTGGCAGCCCTTTGCCAAGCATTGCGCCAATGTGAGTTCCCTGATTTGGAAGACTGTATCAGAGACAGGCTTGTTTGAGGCCTGCATAATAGTGAATTACAGTAGCGCCTATTCACCATGGAGAAACTGACTTTCCAAGATGCATTGAAGGAAGTCATGGCAGATGAGGCTGCCAGAGGGGCTATTGAGACTTTCTGGCCACCAAAAGCACACACTAGCCCCCCAGCGATCCACCAAGAGATCTCAAAAGGCTCGGGGGAGGTCAGTGAGAGTGAAGAAATTGATAGCTTGCAGAGAGAGCTACCCAGACAGCTACGCTCCACAGAGCAAGTAACCCCCCACAGAGCTGCACAAGCTGTGGGGGACTGCATGAAAGAGCAGAGTGCAGATTCTGCACAGCAGTATGCCATGCCTGTGGAAATCAGGGGCACATTGCCAGAGTTTGCAGAGGTCATCAGGGGAAATGAAACCTGTGACACAGCAGCACAAGGGGAAATGGCCCCCAGGACAGAATAGAGTTGAATATTGCTTAGGAAGGCATAGCATCCAATGCACAGGGGCCCAATGCTCCATCAAAGAAAAATTAAGAAAAAAATAAGACTGCGATAAAAATACAGTCCAACCTGTGGACTGTAGTCAGGGAGACTCTCATAGTGATCCCACTTAAGCCTAATGGGAATGTTCACATCTGCACAGACTATAAGTGCACCATAAACAAGGCACTACAGCAGCATGCTTACCCTATAAGCCAGTGGCCCCCAACCTTTTTTGTGCCACGGCCCAGTACCGGCATCACAAAATGATCCACGGCCCAGTACCGGCATCAGCACGCATGACAAGGCAAGGCGAGCCGAGCGACCGGCCAGCCAGCCGTCCCCCGCTTCTCCCCACCACCTTCAACTCCTCCTTTGTACCTTTGTCAATGGGCTTCACTTCGGGATGGCTTTGGGACAGTCGCTCGGCTCGCCTTGCCTTGGGTGCTGAAAGAATCCTCGCACCTTAGTTTCGTTTGAAGCCCCCCCCTTCGATGAAACTAAGGCACGAGGATTCCTTCAGGACCCAAACGCTGCTTTCCAACCGGAAAAGTTCACCCGGAAGCACTTTCTCATCAAACAAGATGGCGGTGCCCAGCAAACCGGTGGCCCGGTAGGAAATGTTCCACGGACCGGTACCAGTCCACGGCCCGGTGGTTGGGGACCCCTGCTATAAGCTACACCCTTGCCTCGCTCCAGGGAGGCCGAATCTTTGCTAAGCTAGACCTTGCCCAGGCCTACCAGCAGCTACTGCAACACTACTGCAGAAGCATAAACAATAGTCACTCACAGAGGTGCATTTCGAGCGTGCTGCTTGCAGTTTGGGGTAAGCATAGCACCAGGGTTGTTCCAAAGCATTATGGAAGAAACACTGAAGAACATTCCTGGTGTCTGCCCATACTTTGATGACATCCTGATCACAGGGGAATCAGCAGCAGTCCTGGTGGAATGTCTCTGTGCAGTACTCCAACGTTTCAGCAAGGCAGGCCTAAAACTCAAGAGGGAAAAGTGCCAGATCGGCATGGAATCCACATTCCTGGATTTCTGCATTGACACAGTCAGAATCCACCTATCTGAAGCAAAGCTAAAGGCAATTCAGCAAGCCCCCACACCAAAATCCAAGGGGGAGGTTCAAGCATTCCTAGCTCAACTTTTACCACTCTTTACCACATAAGGCTGCCCTGCAGAACTGCTACACTGCCTACTGGACAAAAAAGCACCCTGGGTCAGGTTGAGCACTCAAGACAAACTGTTGAAGGTGGCAAAATCATTACTATCCTCGGACTCCATCCTAGTTCATTTCAACGAACCCCTACCAGTAACACAAGCCTATGACCTTCACCAAATGGCATTGGGGCAGTACTAAGCCAAAGGATGCAGATGTAGAGAGGCCCCCATTGCAGACGATTCTAGAACGTTATCATTGGCTGAAAGGAACTATGCCCAGATAGCCAAGGAAGCCCTCGCCATAGTGGCTAGCATTAAGAAGTTCCATGACTTCTTATATGGATGAACTTTCACCATCTTTACAGACCACAAACCTCTTCACAGCTAAAAAACAGACACCACAGATCCTGTTGCAGCAAATACTACGATGGTCCATTTTCATGGCTGCATATTCATACCGGCTAGTCCACAAGTCGGGCAAGGAAATGGGCCATGCCGATGCTCTCAGCCGACTGCCTCTACCATAGACTGAGCTGGATCTGGCCCCAGCTTGTCATATTCTGGCAATCCAGGACCTGCCTGAAGCACCCCTGCATGCTGGGAACATTGCAGCTGAAACCACTATGGACAGAACACTTAGCTGCATTCTCAAGTGGGTGTTCAGGGGTAGCCAGAGGCCCGGCCAGGCCCTGAGTTCCAGCACTATGCTTCTCAGAAAAATGAACTGTCGACCCACAAGGGATGTGTGCTGTGGGGCAGCAGGCTCATCATTCCACCCAGTCTTCATTCCAAGGTGCTGTATTCCCCACATGAGGGACACCCAGGAATTGTTCGGATGAAGGCTCTAGCCAGGAACTACTTGTGGTGTCCAGGGCTGGACAAAGACATTGAGAATCAAGTAATGAGTTACCAGGCCTGCCAAGAAACCCGACCGGAGATGTCACAAGCACCAGTGCACCACTGAGAGATCACGCACACCCCATGGTCTCGTGTGCACATTGACTTTGCAGGTCCTTTCCAGGGCAGGTGTTCCTGATAGTAGTGGACAGTTATTCCAAGTGGTTGGACGTGGCACCTGTCTCATCGATGACAATGACCAGAGTAATCCAAGAGTTCCACCGGCTGTTCGCCACACATGGTCTGCCAGAGTGATCATGTCTGACAATGAGGCACAAGTCACGGCAGAACAGTTTCAATCTTTCCTCAATGCCAAGATGATTCAGCATGTAACATCTGCTCCATTTCATCCCGCAACCAATGGTCAGATCGAATGAATGGTCAGGACCACAAAGGAGGTGCTCAAGTGTATGATGACTGGGGTTTGGAATCACTGCCTCGTGAACTTCCTCCTGTGTCAACACACAACTCCCTGAACAGCAACAGGTTGCAGCCCAGCGGAACTGAGTTGGGGCTGCCAGCTCACCATGAAGCTTGACCAACTTCACCCAGAGTAGCGGTGGAGATGGCTCAGCCAACACTCTCCCAGGAACTTACAGCCGGGTGAATTGGCTGGGCCAGGAACTATGGGAGTGAAGCACCTTGGGTGGCAGCTAGGGTAACTAAGGTAATGGGGCCCTTGTCATACGAGGTTATTCTGGGGAATGATCACACAGTCAGACACCACATTGATTAGTTATGGCCAAGGGTGGGATTCAACAGGCGTTACTACTGGTTCGGTGACTATGTTTTGCGCGTGTGTGTAAAAAAAACCTTAAGCTGTGCTGCCTGGAGAACTGAAAGGTGCACAGCATTTGAAAAGCCTCTTTTTCAACCTCAGCTGTGCCACGCAAAGCAGCTGAGATTGTAAAAGCAGGAAATAAAGGACAGGTAAGAGCCCAGGCGGGCGGGTGGGCCAAACAGCAGCAGACACAGAACCAGTTCAGTGTCTGCTGCTCTTCAGAGCGACCAGTTCTACAGAACCAGACAGAACCGGTAGCATCCCACTCCTGGTTATGGTGTCGGCAAGCCAGTCCAGTCCTGGGTGAGGATCCAGAGGTGTTAGCAGACTCACTAGGGGACTGTTTTCCTCTGAGTTTGCCTACATTACCCATGGCTGCCTCCAGGGAAATGGAGGATCAAGGGCAGTAGAACTGCCACCACTCACAGGCAACCAAAACGGCCATCCAGACTGTCCAATTGGAGATGGACAATACTCCACTTAAACAGGACTTTCCAGTAACATTGCAGCAGTCCACCAGGATCCGTGGGCCCCCAGCCTATCTCAAAGACTATATATCCACGGGGGAGGAATATACAGTATATAGTTGTGTTAAGCCCTGCTAAAGTGAAACTAACCATTAGATGACCCTAACTGTAAACTCCAACTGTTTTAGGTGGGCTTTTTCAAGTATTATGATTGGTTAAGGCCCTGTGGGCCCAGAGTATAAATTACAGGCATTTGCCTGCTGTTCCTCAGTTCCAGTTTAAGTCAATAAATGCTGTTGTAGCTATGCTGGTCTGCTCCTTGCCTACTGAAGCCCACTATGCAATAACAAGTTAATTGCATTAATATTTTTGAAGATGTATTTTGTTTGATAATTTGAGGCATCCTTCCTTCTTTATATAATTTTAATTTAAAATAATTAACAGGAAGATTAAAAATTAAGATAAAGTAATTAAAAGAAGATAAAAAGTAAGAAATAAATCAGAAAAGGCTAAAAGTACAAGAAGAAAAAAAGAAAAACAGGAAAGAAAGAAAAAAGATACAAAGAAGGGGCTTTCAATCCTATTTATAGCCATTATAAATACAATTATAAGTTTACTTATTACTCTGTAGTTTTAACACACCTCTCTTCTTACTATATAATATATCCTATCTAATCATCAATACCATAAGTCATAAGCTCACTTTTTTTTGCTTTCCCCAAAACAGTCCATTTGACAATCTGTGACATAGTTCCTGAGATGGAAAAAAATGAATTATCTGTCTTTCCAGGATTTATTTTATATTTGTTTGTTTGTTTGTTTATTTATTTATTTGTATCCTGCTTTTATTATTTTTTTACAAATAACTCAAGGATGCGAACATATCCAATGTGCTTTCCTCCTATTGTCCGCATAACAGAAATCCTGTAAAATGACTTGGGCTGAAAGAAAGTCACAGGCCCAAAGTCACCCAGCTTGCTTTCATGGCTAAAATGGGGTTTGAAGTCACAATGTTCCACTTTCTAGCCCAGTGCCTTAACCACTATGCCATGGGGATGAGGCTTTTAAAGAAATTGGTTCTGATTCAGTGATTCAGCTCTGCACTCATCCCTTGTGGAAGGGGAATGGGATAACTTGTCACAGCCAACTTGCTGTGATCACCTCCCCATGCCCACCTCTCCACAGCCAACTCATCGCAACCAACTCTCCATGGCCAACTACCATAGCCAATTTGCTGTGAGACAACTTTCCATGGCCAACTTGCTACGGGACAGCTCACCATAGGACAATTTATCAATTCAATTTAATTATTTAAAATAAATAAATAAAAATGTTTTAATTTTTGTCATTCAGATTTCATTTTGTCCCTCCTTTTGCATCCTTTCTTTAATGATTCTATTCTACCATTTCTTCGATATCAGTGTAACTCTTGTCCCGCAGCCAGTTGCCTGTGGCAAGTTAACCATGGCGAGTTGGCCGTGGCAAGTTGGCTGCAGCGAATTGTCAGAGACCCTTGTGGGAGGCACTTTGGAAGAAGCCACAGACAGAACAGTGAATTGACCTAAGTACTTGGCCTATTGAAGAACTCCAGAGATGCAACAGCTGGATTAGAAGACAACAATTTGAGGAACTGGAGTTTGTTTTCAAAATTTTGAGGAAGGATGAGGGCTGTCGTCAGCGGGTATGCATACAGATGATTCACATACAGGTACTCCTTGACTTACAATCAGTTGTTTAGTGACTGTTTGAAGTTCAGACTGACCCTAAAAAAGGGGACTTGCAACCTGGATTTGAAGTCCCGATGGTCAGACCTTTACATGACCGAACTTTGGGCGTTCGATAACATGGCAAATTTACAGCCATTTGCAGCATCCTGTGGTTTTTGACAGTTACTGCTACTTACTTCCACTTTTTAACAAAAATGCACCCACAGTGAATCATAAGTTCACTTGACAACTGCAGTGTTCATTTAATGACCACAGCATCCGCTTAACATCTGCAGCATTTGCCACACACAAGGTAGGTGGGCAGGCTCTCTTACTGTTGTATGTCAGGGAGAATTTGAGGTTTTTCTGCTTGTTTAAAAGTAGATTAAATCTTTTGGGAGGAGATTTTCCTGAGTCAAAATGGAAGGAAAAACCACTATTTTCATCAGTGGTGGCTGGAAATATACCTGGAAGCCTTGAAGAAGGAGTTAACTGGTAAGCCATTTGCTTGCTTTTTGGTTAGAAGAGACCAGGTTCAAATTCCCACATTATTCTAAATTTCACTAGCTTATCTACAATGATTGCTATGAAGGTAAAAGAATTACATTTGGGAGAGGGGAATCTGTACTTTCCCCCAATATGTATTTACTGTACATATCTTGTTTGTTTATTGTTTGATTGTTTGTTTGAGTTGATACTTCCTTGATTGGGGCATTGTTTACTGCTTGATTATTAATCTCGATATTAACAACAGTCTAAACATGAGCCATGGTGGCACAGAATGCAGGATTGCAGGCTAATTCTGCTGACTGCCAGCAATTCAATCCTCACTTGCTCAAGATTGACTCAAACCTCCATCTTTCCAAGGTTGGTAAAATGAGGAGCCAGATTGCCGGGGGCAATACGCTGACTCTGTAAACCGCTGAGAGAGGGCTATAAAGCACTGTGAAGCGGTATATAAGTCTTATTGCTAATCAAGGAATCACTAAGACCACTCCCACCAACAATGACAGGACAAGTCACTTGTATATAAACAGAGAGCAAACCCCACTCCCTTCTAGTACTGATGATGTTACCTAGTTGGGTAATGAAACGTCTGCAAGAAAAACCCCAAATGTAGAGAGTGCCAAGGATTCCATAGTTCAACCTTGGACTAGAAATATTCTTTTCTGTTGCTAAATGAATATTTAGCCAGTCTTTGAGTCCAGTGCTGTATCTGAAAGCAGAAAAGAGAAATCAAGCTTTCAGATAAAACAGTGAGATGCTCAAGGGAAGAAGGTGAGCCGAAGAGACAAACACAGGCAGGAGATGGGTTCTTTAGAGCAAAGTCATGAGCTGAGAGAAAGCTATGAATCCTCTTGTTTAGGGGAACTGTTTTCTGGCTCTTGCATGGTTTGTACATCCTGGCTCTTGTTCCTTAGCTGGTGTTGGAAGAAATATCCATCTGGTTCAGTTCCAAGGTGGGACAAAAACACTGGAAACAACATGGAGGCTTATTGGAAAGGAAGATTAATGATGAACAGAACCAACATCAGTCCTGGGTCAGCTGAAAAAAATGAAGTTGAGAGTGGGGGGATTTTTATACCTTCTTTGGGCTTTGTATTTGAGCTTCCTGTTCCTGTGCAAGAACATGTCCTTTAATATTCTATTGGCTGTTGTCAGATTCCTATGGGATCATGTAGGGGTTATGTAGGGGTCATAGCTGGCTCTATAGGCAAAAAAGGAAATGCAAATCCTAGGTGCTTCTCTGAGCTAATTTTGTCAACTTTTTGTTTGTTGCTTCTCTGAGCTCCCAGGTTTCTGTGACTTTGAAGTTCAGACTGCAATCACCCTGTTTTGAAAGGGTGTTGGGCAATTCCTATTGTGGCTAATTAGCTTTTCTCCTGTGTTGGATCTTGGGTGAGGGGCTGCTTTCTAATCCTATCATTCTGCTTTTGTTAGCTGTTGAACTTTGCTGCAAGCAGTTTCAAGGCATCCTGTTTTGAATGGATTTCTGCCTGCAGTATTTGCTTAGCTTATGAATAGAGCCATCTAGATAGTTGGCTTCTTTCAATAAGCTCTTTATCTCTTAAGTGCTAACATCTGCTGTGGGCTATTAAGAAAAGGTGGGGGTTGCTTTCTGCCTGATGTTTCTCTATTTCTCCCTTTGGGGAAATATAATATTCCGCCTTTTTAATATTCCTTAAAATATTTCATTCTTCGGATGGGAGGAAGCAAGATTCCTCCTTTTCTTTTGACCTTTTATTCTTGTGATCCTAGAGGAGGCTTCCCTCCTGTCTGGCAGTGGCTCTTGAATGGGGTCAAGCTGGTTTCCCTTTGCTTTGATGGTAGCCCCCCCAGAAGATGGGGAGGAAGCTTCTTTTTTTCTTTTTTGTAAATTTTATTTGAGTTTTCACAAAAAGGAAGAAATACAAATAAAACATCTTTTTTGAAAGCAGCATAATCCCGGGTTACATTTCTTCGTACAGACACAAATTCAAGTTCATGCTAATTTTTATATTCTATTCCATATCTTATTACTATTTTACATTTTCTACATGGCTTCTCCCCTCTTTTAATTTTCTCAATTTTATTTTATTTATTTCATCTCAATTCAAATCATTATATTTATATTTTTTGTCTGTCCTGTTTCAATTGTCTATTATCTTTTCTCATTAAACAAAATTTCTCCTGTAGTTACTGATTGGAGTATGACGCCTTTATATATTTCCCCTAAAGCTGTAACACTTAATATAATACATAACTTCTATTTGGATTCTGCTTGGTACATTCTTAAACTATACACAGTATTCTTGGAAAAAGAAAAAAAAAGAAAAAATTATAAATGTATATAATTAGGACAACATTCCATTCCAATTCAATTCTATCATTAATATTAATATTCATTAAAGTCTTAACATTTTTCATGTTACTTTTCAATTAAATATCATACTTCTATGGGAGCAATTATAAACTTTCCATAGTTAATTCCCCCCCTCTTCACTTATCTTTTATAAAACATTGACTAATTAAAATGTTCCCGTTCCTTCCTAATTCAATTTTCTCATTTATTTTATTTCATTTACTTTATTCACAAACATTTCACTAAATTACACCAACTATTTTATCCCTTATTCTAATCATATGTTGTTTCCAATTTTCTAAAGTTATTTCTATTACAAATATAACAATACAATCTTATGTACCTTTACAGAATCCCTTTTTCAGTTAGATTTTCACTCATTATCTCTAAATAGGTCCTGTTTCTTTATATCTTGCTCCGGACCTTTGTAACTTCTTTTCCTTTCCTTCTTCCCTCTCTTCTTCTCTCTCCCCTTTTTACCCCTTTGTCTCTCTACCTCTATTTCCCTCTTCTGTATTCCCCTTTTCTGTTGCTTTCCAGTATTATACTTATTTTTCGAATTATTTTTCTTTTCTTTGGTTGTTTTTTTAAGTCTTAAATTCTCCATCCTCTTTCCCCCCTTTCCTTTTTCTTCCCCACGGAGAGTTACTTGTTCATTAAAGATGGCTTCTTCTTTGTCCCAGTCTTCTTGTTTTGCAGTCTTTTCTTGTTGTTTCTCATAGTTCCAGATCTCCATTTCTAAGAATTGAAAAACGAAGCCAAAAGAACCCTTCCCTTCTTGTGCATCTTCTTTGTACTTTTTAAGTTCCATTTTCAATTCATCCAAAAGTGATGCCATTGTAGAAATTTTTAAACAACCACCTGATTGCTTTTAGTCATTCAAATATAATAACCAAAAATCCAAAAGTCACCAAGTAATCCAAATACACGCAAGCTGTTTCTCTTTGCTCTTTCTTCCCCCCCCCCCACTTTCTCTTCCTGGGGTTACTATTTAGTTGCAAAGTTTCAGTTAAAATGTATCTTTTAGAAGTCTTATTGAAATTTTACTTTAGATTCTTTTAAAGTCCAGGCAGTCTCCTCCCTCTTCCAGATCCTGCCCTTATTCTTTTTCTCTCCCTTCCTGCTTATAGAAGAAAAAGTTTTTAATGTCCAGAAATCTTTATTGTCCCTTTGGCATTTAGTTATATTTTCAGCTTAATTGCCTATTGATGCTAAAGCGGATTTTTCCAATTTCTTAGTCTTTTAGTTGTCAATATAAGGAAGGAGAGAGAAGAAAAAAAAAGCCAAACCTTTCCCTTTTCACTTTCTTTCGCTGCTTCCGACTCTTCTTTGGGAGCGATGTTATTTCTTGTAAAATTTAAATTCCAAGGTACCTTAGTTGTTGCTTTTTCAACTTAGCCCGGTCAGCCAAAACTTTCACTTCTTATCTTCCTCCTGCACATTCTTTTCCAGTTGAGTTCTTCTTTGAGGTGGCCATTTCTGACCACCACTCCTACCGCCTTCGGGAAAGGGAGTAATGGCCAGCTGAGGAGGAGAGATGCGGCTCTCCTCGACCCTGCTGGCGGTCTCCCCCCTCTTCACCACTTCTACGGGGTGGCTTAGCCCCGAAACCAGCCGGCTCGGGGCGCTCCAGCGGCGAGCCCAGGCAGAAACCACGCACGATCGCGGATTCCTGTCTGTCACCGAAGCCCTTCAAACTGGAAGTCGGAGGAGGCTTTTGATGGCAGTAGATCTAGTCTCACCTCAGGCATCCATGTTCCTTCTGCCCTCCATCCCAGGGCAAGGTGCAATTGAGTGAACAACTATTGTTTACACTGATGTCTTTTACTATGACCTATTTACTTCATGCTTCATAACTGCAAACCTGTTTTGGAAGATAACATGAGTTTTGCAAGTGAGGGCATGGCCAAAAATAAAGGCCCACTTTTAATTGTTTGCTTATACAAAGGAGAGCAGTCATACAATAGTTCAGCTCATAAGCTCTGGGGTAAACAAAGGGTGTTATTGGTTTAGGTCTGGTTTAAGTTTGGGTAAAACTGGCCAATTGCAGTTTATTTGGTAAACCATAATTTTAAAAAACTACAGCTTAATGAAGTGAGTTAAGCCAGTCAACAACTCATTTGTATGTAAAAGCCTGGGGATTCAAAAAGAAAATTTGCCACGTAGTAAGTTTGCCAGTTTTTCAACCAATCTCTATAGCTCTGCTTCTAACAGCAGCCTTTTTTTCAGGCAACATTTATTTAGTCTCCTGTCATTGAAGGTTGGCAGATAATCGTGTTTCTCTTCCTACTGGGATAAATTTTAGTTGCTGAGATATGCATCTTAAACCATAGCTGCAGCCACTGGAAGTGGCACATCTGGTTGTGATATTTCCCATCAGTTGATAATTCTGCCTGAATGCATATCAGACTCATAGCTGAATTTCATATCCAAGAGCAAGCACTAGAGACAAATTCTTTGTGTGTCCAATCAATCTTGGTCAATAAAGAATTCTATTGTATTCTGTTCTGTTCTGTTCTGTTCCGTTCTGTTCCATTCTTATTCTAGTCTACTCTACTCCTGTTCTGTTCTTATTCTATTCTGTTCTGTTCTGTTCCATTCTTATTCTACTCTACTCTACTCTACTCTACTCTACTCTACTCTACTCTACTCTACTCTACTCTACTCTACCCTACCCTACCCTACCCTACCCTATCTTACTCTACTCTATTCCTGTTCTGTTCTATTCTTATTCCATTCCATTCCATTGTATCCCTATCCTATTTTATTCTTTCTATTCATATAGAAGAATAGGTGCCCAATTCCTGTCTGAAACCAAAGTGGATGAAAATCCCCAGCCACAATGGGAGTAGAGTAGTAGGTTTCCTGCAGTAATGGCATGCAACCGGGGAGCTGGGTTTGCACTTAATGTTCAGTTAATATAAGTTACATTTGGTTTCACTTGAATATGTTGTCTGGACTCAGCCCAATTGGGTTTATGGTACCACCTGTTTTGTGAATCCAGCCAATTGTAATTTAATATAATAAATCATAAATAACCAAACCACTTGTCTATGGAGATCCAGGTCATGGTTGTCCCAAAAACTTTTTTTCCAAAAGGCATTCTCTGTGTTTTCTTTGAAAATGTTTCATTTCTCATCCAAGAAGCTTCTTCAGTTCTCTTCTTCAGAATTGAAGAAGCTTTTTGGATGAGAAGCGAAATGTTTTCAAAGAAAACAGACAGAACGTCCAGTTGCCTTTTGGAAGAAACACCTTTGGGACAACCAACTGGTTGTTCAATGAACTGGTCAACAATGCTATGATTCTGTTTACATTTGACTGATCTTATAAAATAAGTTGATTAGAGTCTGATTTAGTTTAGTACTTGGATGAAAGGCATCCCAGCTCTGTAATCTAATCTGGGAACTTGGAAAAACATCTTAGAAAAAGACCATGGGAAGCACTTCCATCTTCTTGTTGAGAAAACTGCATGAGTTTCTCCATGAAGATTAATTTGAATAAGGGAATATCTAATTACTATGCTTAAATGATTCTAGTTATGAATACAACTTCAAAAGGTAATTAATATCAATTAGATAGCTGTAAGTATGGAGCCTCCCTCTTTCTGATCCTTGCATCCTCTAATTGTCCTCAAGCATATTTTTGCATCTTTCCATCTAAGGTCCACCTATAATCCCTCACAACCTTGTTGTATATTGACGTTCTTGTCTTTTCTTTAACAGTGTGGCTGGTGGGTGGGAAGAAAAACAGAAGACAGTTTTGCTGAGTAGCTGAGTCAAAACACCCTTTTATGTTCTATAGCTTCTTTACTGTATGGGGTGGATGTCCAGACATATTAATGGCATTATCTCTCTGGTTTGCTAAAAGCTGCC